TTTATTTTGTATATATATATGTATATAATATAATATAGTTTATACTGTATACAATATATTAAATGATACTTTTTGCTTGCGAAGTAGTGAAGCTATTGAACAACTATTGCTAACGGTGTTGCTAAACGATTCTTAAAATTTGTTTCGTACAGTGGAGCGCAAATGAAATGAAAGCTTGGCACAGCGAGTTTCCCATTAAGTGAGAGAGCAAACTAATATAACTCTAGTAATTTATTTTGAGAAATGTGGAAATGTACTTTTAGGAGTTTATGGGTAACAATTCTATGATCTTACCTCACCTAACCTAACTTTGATATATCGCTGCCATTAAATTTTTTTTATCAAAGAATACTTTTAGACATCATATCTACCGCAATCAATTTGCACCTTCTTATCAAAAGGGGAAAGAAAGGGAACAAGTCTAAGTGACTTCCGAACTGTTTAAAATATTAGTATGTTGTTTTATTATGGTATTGGGATAGAGGAAGCCTAAATCCGATACGAAACTTGAGCTACGGAAATAGTATTATGATAATACAAAAAAGCAAAGTAAACACTGAAAGTAAGGTACATATAAAAAGATATACCGCACAATACACAGAGTTCGACGTGCATTCATGGCACCCCTTGCAATTACGCAATCTCGCATAGCTCAGAATACCGTAGGGACTCTTCCATCACATCTCTATAGGTAAGCATTAACTCCTCCCACAAAACCACCGCAAATAAAGAACCACACTGAAAAACAAAAAACCAAGACATTTCAGTGGCTACAACTACCGTCGATGCACGACCGATCTTTGGCCGCTTTTCCCACTATATTTTGAGGTTAAGCATATTTAATGTGGGTGTCTGATGTTGTTAACACAAATTAACTTCATCACTTTGCTGCCACCCTCTTCAAATAATTATCGTTTCTTATGTTTCCGCAGTCGACGCAGTTTGCCGAGGTTCGAGATTAATTATTCCTAATTTGTATTCATTTGTTGTACTTATGCGTGCGGCAAGGATACTTTATTTAATTTTTGCGTGAAATTAAACTCAAGCGCAGAAACACACACACACACGCATACACGCGCACACTGAACACATAAGCCTGTGGGCATATGTATGTCTGATTACATAGATTACCAAGCTTAAGAAATTACGTGGAAACACATCCGTCAGTCGGAAGCAGCGGCCAGATGCTCAATTAAAGTTAAGCTGCCCTAATTTTGGCTGTGACCTTGTTTTAAAGTCGAGTGGCTGAATTAAATTTGTGGAATAATTCGAGATTTTTTCTTTTTGCTGCATATTAATCATTTAAATTACAAATTAATTTGAGTATAATAAATTATGGATATTATTATTCTTTTGCTTTTAATTCAAGCAATTGTTGCTAAGGAAGATGGTGTAATCATGTGAAGAGTCAAATTTTTCAGTCAATTAATCATTAAATTACGGGAAACGAAAATTTTAAATAAAAATTGGCAGCCACTAGTTTTGGACAAACTCAATACAGCATAGCAAGCAAGATAACTTATTTGTATTGAAAGAAAAAATCAATCATGTTCTCAACAACAGAATTCCTTATTGACTATCTGTTCCTTCGCAACAAATTTATGATACACCAAACCACGAATATCGAAATTGATCTTCATATTTGAGCGTTTTGGTGTTGTTTTTTGGTCTCAGCTCATTTTTTTCTCTCCATTCCGATGATTGTTGACTTGCAAACACGTCTAACTCATTATAATGCTCTCCATGAATGTGGGATCGGAATTCGAACGATCAAGCAGATTCAAAGAGACCTCTTTGCGGTGTGCCTTTTAAAAAAAAAATTCAGTTTTACCGCGACAGGCAAGATCGAGTTTCAAACCCAAAATATCCTCGAAGATCAATTGAACGGACTCTTGTCATCTCTCTAATAATTGCTTGACGATTTTCAAGCATCATATTCTCATACACTTTTTAAATATTTTCATCAATTCAAGAGGTCGAAAGACGTCTAGAACGAGGCAAGTTTTCAACAATCTCTTGACCGTATTTGAAGGCTTTGTACCACTAGTAGGCTTGTATTTTTGATAAAAGTGAATCACCGTTAGACTTTTTCTATATCCTACATTAGCAATGATTCCACATACAAAATTTGGTTAGACATACAAAATTTGTATCTATTTATGCATATATTTATATTTATATCAATGTCAATAGTTATTGTTTTATTATATCTCTTGCTTTTTATGCCTCTATGTCCGACAATTTTCTCCATTTCGTTTTTCGTTTCAATTTTCACCGCTATCTCTATATGCATATATATCAGTTTCTCCAACATGCCTATTTCTAGATTAACTCTACCTCTTCCTCCGATCTATCTCTACCTCTACCTCAGTCTCTATCTCTATCTCTATCTCTATCTCTATCTCAATTTTGTTTTTTTTTTTGGCTACCTCACCTTTTATAGATATATACTTACAATTATATCTTTCACCCACTTTCAAAAATCTTTCTGTCTAATTTCATATCTCCTTTCATATTTATTTTAATTTTTATTTATATCTGTCCCTACCTTTGTTTCTATCGATACTTCTCATTTCATCATCGCTATCTCCTCTTCAATCGAAATATTGATCTCATTCATCTCATTCATTCAGCTCATGCAGAACGCTGTCTGCCAACTTGAGTACCTCAACCTTTATATTGTTCCCCACCTCTGCCATATCTATCTCTTTATCGCTACCTTATATCTCTCTCAATCTATCAAACTAAATCCTTATCTTCATTTTCATTTTACAACACCATTTCTTTGAGCTTCGCTGTCCTCGTGGGGGTAATTTTTAGACTGCAGGGAAAAATGGGCGCTTAGTAAGCGCTGGGCAACAATTGGTATCTTAACGGTCCCTAGATCTTTCTGTCCCGAATTCGATTGCAAGAGAACCATCGAGCCTTTTGCGTTTTGCAAAGTTAAGATTTTCCTAATTGTAGGGGTTATAAATCAACTTTTCGTGTTCATGCGGTAAGGTTAAAAATCATACCGGATGCCAGTTGCGTATGCTGCTTGGAGAAAAACGAGTTTGAAATATCTCAAAATTTTCGACTTGAATACCTGATTTGCGAGATGAAGATTAAAACACCGTAAATGTCATCTTTAGACATCCAGCTTGGCTGGCGGTAATAGAAATTAAATTAAGTAATGGGTACAAGACGCTTTGTCGACACTTAATATGATATTACTGTTGCTCTTTTTCTGACATCAATCAGTCCAAAAGCGGTACTGTCTTGTGATCAGCCTTATAATCTGACATCAGTTGGAGAGAATTGTATAGGGTTTAGCTTTCAGAGCTTTCAGTAAATCAAACAAAGGTTTTTGTATCATAATAACACTTTTGGGTATTATACAACGATTGTTGATTTGATTCTTTAAATGGTTTGAGTTTATATATAATATATATATGATCGACCATTTCTCACAAATTTCATTCGGTTGCATTGGATCCAAAAGAGGAGTTATTGTTTTAGTCATATGAATTGATTCAGGTGAAGCAATATGAATTGTTAATGATCCCTGTTTTGCTATATGGTGTAGAGGCATAGACGAAGACAACATCTGACGAGTCCTCATTACGATTTCTCGAGAGAAAGTTCTGCGAAAGATTTATAGTCCTTTGGGCAATACCACAGTCGGTGGAATGATGAGCTGTACGAGATATACGACGACATTGTGAATTCAGAGACACAGGCACTCTGGCTGGGTCAGTGGTCCGAATGGATAAAAACACTCCAGCTCTGAGAGTATTCGACGCAGTACCCACCAGGGTAAGCAGAGGAAGAGGAAGACCTCCACTCCGTTGGAGTGACATTGGAATATTTGGAAACAACTGACGCTATTGATAACTCGGCTATAACCACGTAAATGGTTATGGGCGTAGATATTAAAGAAGCTTGAAATTGAGCTTGTACCTGCACCATTTTTAATTTTTCTCCAAAACCATATATCCACTAAAGTTATCTCGTCATTCAAGAAATCGCAACAGTTTGTAATTAAATTTCCCTCCGGTATACCTTGCAACCACTAGGCATTGTTCGGCAAAGTAGTAAATAAATTTACAAATATTTTTCCTTAAATGCCACCGCCCAAAATTACGCCGCTGCTGGCGCTGAGCTTGAGAAATTGCTTTCGCTATGTGTGCGTGGGTGTTCCGCAAAAACTTTTTTAATATATTGTATACTCAGCCGTGGCTTGTTTTTCGGTCGCCGTCAGCTGGCAACGTCAGAATGGCAACAAATAGCGCCATAGTATAACTTTTCCAAACTGAATATTGTTCATTTATATGGGTAATATATACAAGTACATATGTATGAGTGTTTGTATGTATGGACTTGTGTATGCAAGGAGTTATTGCTATAAATTTGTTGGTGGTTTGTTAGCATATGGATTTTTTCGGTCAAATGATTTTTAATATTTATGCGAAATTGCAGCGAACCACTGTGGCCACACACACACGTATTGCCATATACATTTATGAACACATACATTTTCATATTCATATATAGTATACATACTTATATTGACATATACACTTGCATATAGAATACTGAATGAGAATTAATATTTATGTGAGCCGAATGCAGCGAGCGAAAGAAAGCATTCAATTCAACTTTTAATATGTAAATATGTATGTATGCGTGGAATTAAAATAGTTTTCTTTTGTTGCAATAATTCGGTGGACCAAATTTTAATAAGATCGCTTATGAATTTTTCAAGCGCCTTTTAACCCAGTAAGGCACGGGGAAAGAAAAAAATTAAATAATTTGTATGTATAAATATATATGACTATATAATAAATAATAATTATATTTGTTTTTGTTGTAAACTTAAATTTTCTTAAGCCAAATTTTTAATTTTCCTGAAAAAAGATACAAAAAAAAAAATAAAAAAAATAAAAAACCATTAATTGTTCCCCCAAATCACCCTGTAACTCTAAAGAAAAATTACACAAATTTGCTGAAATTTCACTCACCGTAGTTGTTGCTGGTGTTGTTGCGGTATGCGGTGTATAGGCCGCGTAAGCTGGTTGCGGCAATGGAGCTGTATATCTATAGGCTTGCTGAGCGACGGCAGCAGCCGCTGCAGCGGCAGCTGGAGCGTAACCCTGTGGTGTCCAACTGGCACCGCGATACGGAGCACCTGCTAAGCCGCCTGCTGCTGCTGGACTAGTCATAGCTGGCCTGGGGGCCCCTTTTAATGCGACTGCTGAAGTTGGTGGTGGTGCACCAGGGAAGGCTGTACGCGGTGGCGGTACTGTGGAAGAGCTTCCCTGTAAGTAAACGAAATAATACTCGGAAAATGAATGAAAAATGTTGGAATAATGCAAAAGTTAAGGAAGAATCTAGAAAAATTCGGTAAATCTGTTATTACTGTAGAAATTTAAATAATTTACAAATGTGTGGGAGGATTGGATTATATGTCTGCATGGCGATGTTAGAGACCCTAAAGCTATCCTAAGGTTCCTCAGGTTCCCAAGCCAATTTTCGATACATTTGACTGGGAAGGCACTAAACTTCAGTGAATTTTGAATTTTTCGGTTCGTTGGGATTCTCAGCTATGTTCTCAAGCATCTCTTCTGCTATTTTTACTCGACATGCCTCAAGCAAAGGATTCAGGTCTTTTGTTACAGTATAGCATATACACGTTTTCCTAAATCAAAATGTGTTGAGTCGATCGATAAAAGACGTTGAGATCCACTGCGTCTGTTTAATGCCAAAATGACGATTTGCAAGCACTGTTTCTCTAACTTTTTCATTAACAGAAGTAAAAGTCATCCATTTATTTTATACGTCAAGTTTTCGATGACTTCACGGCCTTTAATGAAAACTTTTTTGGGAAGCATTGCTAAGCTTTTGCATACTCTTGTTCCAAATTGTACGCATTTTTTTTCTAGCACAGCTATCGTTTTCTATTCGTTTTTGTTTAGAAAGTGAAATGGGTATTGCTGCTGGTTATAAATAAAGGCAATATCAATCAAAATAATTTAGGAAAGCAAAACTTATTCAAATTATCTGTCCTTGCGTTCAGTCAAGACCTTAATGAGGATGAAACTGGAATTATAGTTAGGAAGAAGGCATGAAGAAGAAAGACCAACTCGAAATTTTAAACATTTACACCTGCCAGGAGTTTGGAAAATAATTTTTATGTAAAAATATATGTTAACGCAGAGTTGCTATCTTTTTAAACCAAAGTGATTTTGTAAACAAATAATATTTGGTTGTTGTCATATTGGTGCCCATCACAAAGTTTGCTGTCAATCTTTAATGCCAGCAGGTATCTTATGCAAAGTTGCATAGGAAATTTCATTTTAGGAATTAAAATCATCATTTTCTTACCAAAAAGGTGCTTAGATGTAGAAACCGTTTTTATGGGTTAACTTTGGCATATAGCCTTCATACAAACTGATCGATAGATATCAAGAACTTGTGTGGAAAACTTTTTCATTTGACGCACTATTGTTACAAAATTATTCATGTATTATTATCAATAACAACGCTACAATCTCCGAATACATTGCTTAGATTGGACTACTCTAACATATAGCTGCCATACAAACTAATCGATCAAATTCAAGTCCTTTTATGAAAAACTTTTTTACTAGACAAGATATCTAAACGAAGTTTGGCATGAATTATTATCTAAGACAATGGTGCAATCTCAGAAGAAATCGTACAGATCGAATCACTATATCTTATAGCTGCCATACAAACTGACCGATCAATATTAGAATAAAGTTATTTTTATACTTTTTTTTTTTTGCTATAAAAATGCACTTGTGAAGGGTATTACAGCTTCTGTGCAGCCGAAGTTAACATTTCTTCTGGTTTTTGCAATGCACGAATTTCAACCGAGTGCTTAGTCAGCATTAATACAATAATTTTCAACATAATCTCACTTGAAACTATATTTAGATATAAAAGAGTTTTGAACGCTGTAAAGCAAGTGGTATCATTGAAGATTGAAAATAAGATGTTTAAGGATTTATAATAAAAAACAGTTATTTTTCACAAAAATATTTTCTAATTAATCGCCATTTTAAACTTTATTAAGCAATATTTATTGATTAAGCCACGTCTGCTGCCAACAATAACTGTAAATTGCGACCTACAGGTTTTTAACAACCATCAAGGGCCACTCTGCCGCACAACCAACTGCCAAATACGCGCTTAATTTCGAGCGTATTTATTATCTAATACACGCTTACACACACACGCACGCACACTCGCACACTCACACACATCCTAACGGGCATTAATGACGCTCTAATAAATTTCGCATCCACGTGCTTGTAATAAATTTTGACGTTTTACGATTTTAATAGAGCACAACAACAATAACATAAAATAGCGAAAATGTGGAAAATGCGGAAAAACAAAAAACAAAAATTAATTGAAAATTTTCAAACTCATTTGCTGGCAAACGCTTACGGCGCGGCAAATTTATGCGAATCGCATGTGCCGCGATTTCATTATAACATTTTTACTGGTTATTGCGATCATGTTTTTTCGCGCAATTTTTATTTGCTATACTTTTCTACGTATGTCCTTGTGGCAGGCATCGATGTGTTTGGTTAGCATTCCGGCGACCTTATTTTTCATGTCGATTGCAGTGCTGCTGCGCAAGTCCAATCGTTGAACAGTACGCGCTGTAGCTGGCGGGCATTATGGCACACGCATACACATATACATATATGACTGTATAATGAGAAAATGGGGACATACGTGAGCGGTGAGCAAACACCCAACACACACACGCATATATGCACTCAGCCATATGAAACTAATCGCCGCACACACACATATATACGTGTACACATACGCTCGTAAGCAAATATGTGTTGGTGTGCATAAATTTCAATGTGTCTGGAAATGCTTTTAATCAACATAATTTTCCAGCGCCTAAATATAGGCTTCTGCTGTCGCTGCTGCTGCCACTTGCTAAAAACGCCCATTTAGTGTTGACCTTTGCAAGCGCACAAGTAACAATTACAACCACATACATATGTATGTATAGGTGTGTGTGTGTGTGTGTCATGCGAGTTAATACGAATAAAGACACGGATGCCACGAGCTCTTACACACACACACATACACGCACGTACAAATAGTAATGCAACCAGCAATTTCGTACCAACCGTACAAGCTTGTCAACATATTTAACAGAATTTAAAGGTAAAGTATTACACGCTACTTTTATCTCTTGGTACGTATGTACTTGTATACAAACAGGCACACACCTACAGTTCCGTATGTCAGCTTGTTGGCTTGTAATTTCCGGTTTCTACACAAAATGTGCAACTTTCCTAACTAAACTGGCCAATTTCGAGCTATCAAACTGAATTGGACTTGTAAGCCACACGCTCGCATACAAGCACCCCACACACACACACATATATTTACATATAAATACATAAATAACAACCACTGTACCACACAGCTAGCAATGTAATGCGCATTATATCTTGACTATTGTGCACCACTACATCCGGTCGATATATTTTATGATTTTCCTCGTCCCTCGTTCGCCAGCTTGCTATGGCAATGCGCAGGTAGAAGTGCATGCGCTGGCAAAGGCCAAGGTGCAGACACGTGTGCACCCACACAAAATCGGCAACTCAGACAACCCAGCAAACGAAATCACTTTGACATACTTGAAAATCTACAATATAGCGTGAGGAGAATTGAAGGTGCGAAATTCTCCGAAAAAATGTATTTCTAGTATTCATTTAAAGAGTTTTTCGGCAGCAAGTTAAAAAAGTTGCATGAGAGTGGGCGATACCGGATTGAAATAACCATGAGAAATATTCCACGTTGCATCATTCGTAACCTAACAGACAAAAGATTCAGGATTTCTTTTACTGTGATATCGATTTGGAAGAGGCAGACCTCCACTCCGCTGGAAAGATCATTTATTCATTAAATTTAAATTACTTCGTAATTTCTTTAGCATATAATTGTTATTAAATTTCGTACTGTAATGACAATACTAAACGACCAGTCAATTTAGTATTTAATTGCCAATAACTTAAATCATTAATTGTCAGTCAATAAAATAGAAAAATAAAATTCTTATCAAAAAACATGAAATTTAAATTTTGTTTAAATTGGGTCTACTGGAGCAGTCTAGACGTCTAAGTTAGAACCTTACAATGTGCAAGTTCAACGCCAAGGGCTCAGTAAGAATCGGGAAGAATTTCTCCGAGCCTTTCGATACCGAACGAGGTTTCGGACAAGGCGACTCCCCATCGCGCGACATCTTTAATCTATTGTTGGAGGCAATAATACGAGCGGAATGCTAAAGAGTTTAATTGAGCACTGTTGACAGTCATAACTTTGAAGTCGGAGCTAATTTCGTCTGTCTTAGAACCAGCACTAACACCAACAAAAACATCTGGCTCAAAATCCAATGCAGAGTAACTCTAGCTAACAGGTGCTACTTTGGACTGAGTAGGCAATTGAGCAGCAAAGTCCACTTTCGACAAACAAAGACCAAAGACTACAAGCCACTCAGAGGCATGGACGATGACATCATTTGATGAGTCTGTGTTACAAGTTTTCGAGAGATACGTTCTGCGAAAGATTTATGGTGCTTTGCGCGCAGGCCATGGTGAATTTCGCGTTCGATGGAACGATGACATTGATATAGCTTAACGAATTAAGAGACCGCGGCTACGTTGATTAGGACATGTCGTCCGAATTTATGAAAACATTCCAATTCAAACTCTGTAATCAACGCAGTACGCGCCGGGGGAAGCAGAGAAAGAGGAAGACCACCACTCCGTTGGAAAGACTAAGTGAAGAAGAACCTGGTTTCACGTGGAATCTCCAAATAATGAAAATGACTTAATAGCCCAATTAAGAGGCTAATTAGAGATGCCATTTAGAATCGCTTTATACCCAAAGAAATATTACATTTCAATATAATTTAATTATTGTCAAGTTGTAACGAAGTCATTCGAAGTTTATATGTACAATGTAACCAAAAGTTACAAGGAGGCTACGCCTTCTTCTTGAGCTAAGCTAACCTTGGCGAACCTAACCGAAATGTAACAACCCACAAATAACTGGCCAAGAATTCAAAATCACTGAAATGCAACGGTCCATATTTGTGTAGATTGTATGTATATGTGTGAGTGTATGTTAGATGCAACTCTCCGCACTCTTCTTCCGATATTTCCGCTTGCAGCCAGAAGTTTCAATTTCAAGTTATCGCTTGTTCATTTCGGCTAGCAGGCACAAGCTCCAAGCGGCCACGCTGTGCGAGCAAATT